CGGGCCAACCAGGCAAATCCTACTTCAGTCTGTTTCATGCATTGGGGTTCTAGATGAGATTTCTCTTAAGCCACAGGTTTTGCTATTGAATTTAAAAAGCAGAAACCACTGGAACATCGTTGCTCCTGACAGCCCATTCATTCAAGCAGGGCTTTGTGCAGTAATCTGTTTTTGTTTTGTTTTGTTTTGTTTCTGTCGCCCAGGCTGGAGTGCAGTGGCATAATCCTGGCTGACTACAACCTCCACCTACCGGGTTCTGGCAATTCTCCTATCTCAGCCTCCTGAGTAGCTGGGATTACAGGTGTGCCCCACCACACCCAGCTAATTTTTGTATTTTTAGTAGAGACAGGGTTTCATAGTGTTGGCCAGGCTGGTCTTGAACTCCTGACCTCAAGTAATCTCAGCTTTCCAAAGTTCTGAGATTACAGGTGTGAGTCACAGCACCCAGCCAGGGCAGTGATCTGGAGGGGAAAATGCAGATGGCATGCACACTGTGCTACTGTGATCACTGTGACAGCCTGGGTGGAAGGCCACCTGCGTGATGCTGCAGGGTAGCTGTGGCACCTGCCTCCTCCTTTCCTTTGGGTCCCCAGCCAGGTCAGGGCTAAGTGCTGCACGGGTTCAGGGGGAGGTTGGGCTCGGCCATCCTGGCTCATGGCCCCCACACGAACCCCAGGATGGCACAGCAGGGAACTCCTCCAGCAGATGGGCCAGCAGGAGAGGGAGAGCCCCACCCTGAGCAGGAGGAGCTAGGGAGCAGAGAGTAAGGGAAGGGCCTTCCTGACGCCCCTGTTCTCAGCCCCCTGTGGGTGGCAGACCGTGATGGTGGCTGACCTGCCACTCTCCGCACCTGTTCCCTTTCTGGCATCTCCAAGGCTTTAATGGAATTTTGTTTCTGGGAATTCTCAAACAGGAGCTTGCAGAAGAACCAACTCAAGAGCTTGTTAAAATACAGATTCTGGAGGCTCTACTAGGTCTGGGGGGCCTGGAACCTCTATCTCTGCCAAGCTTTTGGTGGCCCAGAATCCCTAGGTGGTCTCTGCTGCATTCATGGCATCAGGGGAGCCCTGGGTGCCCAGGCTCAGGTTAGAATGAATAAAGAGGTGCGAAGCACAGTGGCCGGGATATTTAGCCAGAGGTACCCCCGGGGCACCCCAGGAGGTGGGCCTGAGGCCATGCTGTCTCCACAGAGGCCCCCTCCACGGCTCACCTTAGGGGACCATCTTCCTGCTAAATCTTTGGTTAGCAAATCTGGGAGCATCTGGCAATGTGCTGGGAACACTCAAAACCACACAATCATCCCAGAGAAGTGATTTCATCCAAATATAGAGGATAAGATATTATTTTTATACTAAAATACATGTGGTTGTTTTATGGAAGATGAAGCAAAATCCATATTTAAAAAAATTACTATAAAACATGGCATTCCAGAGAAAATCCAGCTTCACCACAGAGGCCACAGCACGGGGCTCTGGGTGCCACTCCCCCTTCGAGGGAGTCTGGGAAGCCCAGCCTCCCAGGCAGGTGCATTCATTCATACAGGAGCCAGCCTGTCCCACAGGAAGCTGTGTGTCTTTGGGACCCAGGGCCTGGAAGGGGTCCCTGTGTGTGGCAGATGTGAGTAAAAGAAAAGACGAGAGGAGTGGGTCCTCAGGGCGGCGGTGGGCAGGGCTTAGAAAAGCAGAGGGACCCTCCCAACAGAGGGGCCTCAGCCCTTAGAGAACCCTTTACTGGAATGGTACTCCAAAGCCCCCAGAAGCAGCTTCAGGGACCTTGCTCTGGGGCACGTATATAGTGGAAGCCACCATAGAATAAAAGCTTTGCATATGTAGAAGTTCCTCAAGTTATTTCCTGTGACAGCAAAAACTCCAGAAAACTCTATGATGTCCACAAGCAGAGACGTGCTAATGCCACTTCCAGCACACTGAGTTGAGAAACCAGCAGAGGAAGGAGTGGGAAGTGCAGCTATTGATCTAGAAGGTCCCAGTACATGTAAACTGAAAAAAAGCGAATTCCAGAATGGCATATAAGACAATCTCATTTTGGTAGTGAGATGTGAATATTCAAAGATGCATTCAAAATTCACGGGGACAGGACTCTTAGCTGTGTTTGCAATTTTTCTGTACTAATTGTGCATTATTTGAGTCACAATGAAAAATGTTTCTGGCAGAGTGTTTCCAGCATAAGGCAGAACTATTAGGATAGAAAGTCATTTTCTCAGCACCGTGACATCTCTAACACAGAAAGTTAAAGACAAAACAGGGGGCGACATGGAGCGGCAATCGCAACAGACCGACAGACCACAGAGTGAAGATGCAGGGTCTGAAAGGGCTCAAGCCCTGTGCCTGCAGTTTTATGGATGGCGCTGGGACGGGGTGAGACGAGGGCCCCAGCAGATGGGGAGGGTGGTGGTTTCGGGAGGGGCTGGGGTGAGGGTTTTTCTACCTTTAAGCGCTCTCTAATGGTGTAATAACTCTCTCTTGTCCCTAATCAAAACCAGGTTCAAAAGACAAAGAAAAGCGAGGCTGGCCTGGGCTCCGGCTTTGTGTTGGCGACTCCCACCCTCCCAGCAGCCCTGCAGCGGAGCAGCAGCGCCTCGCCGCGGCCACGGCGGGGAAGGACCAAGGCTGGCTGCCTGGAAACGGTGGCTGCTCCGGGAGAGCCCACAGCTAGGCCCAGACACGGGCAGAGCACAGCTGGGAAACTGGGGCTGCTGCATCTGCAGAGAAACCAGGGGCACAGGATGGGGACGGGTGCGCAAACAGCCTCCCAAGTACAGGATGTCTCCCACCAAAGGGCAGGTGGGTGGCACCATGAGAGATCAAGAAGCCCACCTGGGTGTCTGTGAAAGGCCGAGGTGGAAACCCAACTTCAAGGCACAGCTCTGCCACACCCAGGACTCTGGCCAAGATCCTGCTCAACTCCTTCCTCGATTTTGCCATCTGTGAAAGGGGGTTAATCCTGGGGCCTTGCCCACCTCCCAGACTGAGGAAGACTGGACTGGAGATGGGGTGGAGTCCTGGCTCTGCCACCTGCAGGCTACAGGAACGTGGATGAACCACCTGACTCTGAAGTTTCCCACCACACAGAAGAGGCTGATGCTAGTGCAGGCCTCCAGGGCTCCGTCTCCTGACCTACGCCCACAGCGGATCCTGAAAGCACTTTGGCGAGTCATGATCTTTTCAAATGTTGAAACAGAATAGAAAACATTTGAGTACAACATACTTAGTAAGGTTTGTATAAGTTCCGGGAACCTCTGCTTCAGTTTTATGTGAGGCTTATACATGTGTGTCCTGGGTCATGGCGTACCATATAGTTTTTTACTGTGGGTCATAGCAAGTAGTTTCAGAAATGCTGTCTTACAGATACAATGAGATCTTGAAAGCAAATGCTAACTTAGTTCCTAGAATTTTATAAACTCTTAAAAAATGCTACTTATTATTCCTGCTAGAGATGGTAATGTCCACTCATCAGCATCTTGTCACATGGGTACTTAAAAGAAACCCAGCAGGAGAGGGTCTTAAGCCAGTGGGATTACTCTTAGGAGCTAAGCTTTCCCAGGATTCAGGGGCGAGGACCCTAGAGTACAGAGCTGGGGAGGGGGCTGGGGCGCCCCTTCCAAGGGGTCCCAGGACAGCTGACCCCATCCCCTGACAATCTGCTAATGAAGTAAGTAGGAAGTTCAAGGCTGCACTTGCCAAGCCCAAAGAGCATTTTCCTACCCAAAAAAGGAGCCGCTCTGCTAAGTGTGTTCTTCAGCCAGAGGCTGGCACAGACCACCAAAGTCCGTCTTGGTTTTGGCACTTCATGTGGTTACTCAGAACAACAGAGAATGTAGTTCAAACAAAGCCTCGCTCTTACCAAAATAAAGCCCAAGAAAGGCCTGCAGGCTTGGGCCAGGCTGATAAGCAGTGACTATTACAGGCTTGTCCCCACATCACCCGCCACTCTGGCTGCCTCTTCCTCAGGGCCGCTCACCCCATTCCAGGACAAGGCCAGCCACGGAGGGCCAGGAGGGGCCACTGCAGGGCACTTGATGTGCCCAAGTGCCGTGGGACCCTGGATCGCAGGCCTGTTTCTGCTGCAGCTCCCCAGGCACTATGCACCCTTTCCCAGTGCGAATCCTCACCCCTGGACGCTGGTCTCATGCCCACCCTGCAGCCCATTCTCCCATAACCCTCACCAAGAAGAAGGCCTTTCCAGAGCAGGCTCTGATCTTAGGACAGAATTCTGCATGCTGATTAAGCTGAACTTGTCTCTGCCTAATTTCTAATGGACTCTTATTTCTGGGGCAGAGAAGACTCACTCATCTAGCGCCCAAGGACTTCGTTAACAGCGAAGAGACACTCGTTGTGGTAGACAGTGGGGAGAACAGCACCGTGGCCTGGTCTGATTCCACTGAAAGACGAGGCCGTGATGATAGCTGACTGCTAAATTTACATAACTCAGTTCATCTTCACGGGTGCGCTAAGAGGTTGGTACCACCATGAGTCCATTTTCACCAAGGAAAACCAAAGAAAAGAAGTAAATGGCCAGAAGTGTATGGCTGGTGAACAGCCCTGTCTGGAGGCAGGGCCAAGGCGAATGCTCCTGCTATGCAGACGACGCAGGCTCAGAGAGCCGCAGCCACCTCTGTGAGTCCTGAGGCTGGAAGGAGCACCCAGGCCTTCTGCACTAGCTGTACTGGTCAGCAACCTGCACGACTGAGCTGTCACGGGGGCCTCTGCCAAGCCTCAGTGCAGAGCCACAGGCAGGGGACACCCTGTGACCTGGGAAGGGGGGCAATATCTAAGCCCAGCCCCAGAGACACGGATACCACCAAGGACATGCAGAGAGCTAGTTCCCCCAAGCATACCAGGCCAAGGCCTCGTGGCCTAGACTCCTGCAAGGGGGGTGACCTGGGATGCTCAGGGCTTTTCTCAGATTTCAGGAAAGGGGGCTGTCATCTCCAGACAGTCTGGAATACACCAAAGGGGCCCTTTCGACAACGTGAGACCAACCGCATAATGCCCAGAGGGTCCAGTGCCTCCTCCTCTTCCAAGGACTCCTCAGCATCCTCGTCCTTCAGGCCCTGGATGGGCAGGCCCTCATTCGCCACCTGGTCTTGCTGCTCAAAAAAGTCAAAAGCCTCTTCATCATTCCCTGTCCGGCTGTCTGTGCCATCCAGGACAGAGGAATCTCTGCTGGTGAGCCCGGCAGCCCCTGGGGATCTGGTCCCTGTGGAGGAATACAGAAAAGAAGGGACTTGGTAACCACCCCAGTGGCGGGGGAAGCACCTTGCCACACTGCATCCTCCCATGCCAGGATCAGAGGCCGGGGGCTCCCTGCAGCCTCCTGGGAGGCCCCGAGCAGGATGGCAAGTCTGGGTGGATGGGAGGTGACCTCTGTTTTGGGGGCAGCCAAGTGCCTGCTATAGCCCCACCAAGGGCTGACGGGTACCAGGGAAGCCTGGAGTGGAGGGGTCACAAGTAGGGGCTTCAGAGTGGACAGAGGCAGCGGTTCCTGAACCCAAGGCCCAGAGCCTGTGTGCCTGCAGGGATGGCTGCACCCTCCTCCTGGGTGGGCAGTGGGATAAACCAGCCAGGGCACAGGATGATTCAAAAAGAACCAGTGGCTGCCAGGACCGTTTATGGTCAAGGGCACAGCAAGGAGCTCTGCAGACAAAGACCTGCTCTGAGAGTCTGGGTACCTGAACTATGGACTGGATGGGTGTGCAGGGTTAGCATGTGGAAGATTCCAGAACAAACAGTGATCACTCCACTACAAACTGGCTTAGATCAATGCTTCTCAAAGTGTGGTCTGCAGATAGAGAATGCCCCTTGTGTGACCACAATGAGGTAAGTACAGAAAGGGAGAGCAAGCATCCAGAAACTTCCATAGCTGGCATCATCACAATATCTGAGTGTGCGATTTTGTATTTGTGAAAGTATCCATCTGTAACAGGCTGGGAATAAAAGAGCTGGCCCTCCCCCAGAGATAGTTTGAGAAGTGCGGGCTCAGACTATTTGTTCATCTCTATCCAAGTGGCTACTGGATAGTTTATCTTTAAAACCACTGACATTTTTTTTAAAATGACTTTGTAAAGAACTTAGAGAGTGTCTGGCATACTGCACTGAGTGCTAATGATGGCATTGTGTCGTGTGCTGTTCTGTTATTTTACTCGGACAAATGTGAAAAAGCCATTCAAAATCTCCCAAACCTTCAATTTCACGTCATAAGCATCTACATTTATATATCGCAAAAGCCCTATGAGAGATCCCAACTGTACATCCATCTTGCAAATGAGCAAAGTGAGGCAAAGAGCAGCTTGCGTTTCTATGTTGCCTCTCCGCAAGAGAGGGGCTGGGACATCCTCAGCGTCTCTTCCAGCTGTGGCTGAGCTGGAACCTCCTGGCACAGTCTACCCAGCCCCAGAGACAGGCACGGAAGGAAGGGTTGTGACCTTGGAACAAACAAGGGCAGAAGAGAACACAGACCCGTGCGAGGGGCACAGATGTGGCCACAGGACGGCTGGGCTGTGCAGCTTGTCCAGTCCGAGGCCTGTGCATTCACCAGTTTTGCTTCTCTTCCCCACCTTTCAGTTTTTTTTTTTTTTTTTTGAGACAGAGTTTCACTCTTGTTACCCAGGCTGGAGTGCAATGGCACGATCTTGGCTCACCGCAACCTCCGCCTCCTGGGTTCAGGTAATTCTCCTGCCTCAACCTCCTGAGTAGCTGGGATTACAGGCACGCGCCACCATGCCCAGCTAATGTTTTTTATTTTTAGTAGAGACGGGGTTTCACCATGTTGACCAGGGTGGTCTCGATCTCTTGACCTCGTGATCCACCCGCCTCGGCCTCCCAAAGTGCTGGGATTACAGGCTTGAGCCACCGCGCCCGGCCTACCTTTCAGTTTTTAAAATTTGTTTTATTTATGGTCAACTTTCTTTTGAAAACTTCCTTTCTGTTTTGTGGAACTAGGAGATCCACGGTAGCTGGGAAAGAGTAAAGCAGACGGATGTAAAGAGGGGAGAAGTCAGGGGTGAGAGGCCCTGGGGGCATCTGTGTGAGCGCAGGGCCTGCCCCACGTCGCTTCTGGGTTGACAGGGCTGTAACCACCATTTACTGTGTGGCTGTCTCTTTCCCAAGCACTTTGCGTGTGTTAGCTGGGTAAATTCTCATAATGGCCTTTACAGATGAGAAAACTGAGTCAGGAAGAGGGCGGGGACACCCATGGGAGGGGCTTGCTGTCTCCACCACAGGGGGCGGTGGTGCTGGATCAATTCCTCAGCCTGGAGCTGTCCCCATGACCCTCTCCGTGGGGGCACAGGTGAGAAGCACAAGTCCCCAGGGGCAGGAAACCAGCCTGGCTATGAAAACACAGCTTTCCCAGGACACTGCAGGCCCCCAGGGCTGGCTGGCAGGAGGTAGAGGGGTGTGTGGGGTGTGTGTCAGGCATTGTATGTGTGTGTGTGGGGGGTGGTGTCAGAGAAGCTCTAGGAATGGAGTCGGCCAAGAAGGCCATGGATGGGGTCACACAAGGGAGAATGCCCGCTGTGTGAGCCCCTACCTGACACCCAGACGTCAGTCCCTCAAGGGCAAGTCTCCTTCTGCCCACCATCCAGCCAAGGATGTCAGTGAGGCCACCTGCCACACAAGCCTAGCTGAAGCTTCCAGGCTGCGGAGGCACTGTGCACACGCTCCCACGGGGCCAGGGCAGCGGGGAGACCTGAGGGACGTTGGGCAGAGCCTCGGGTACCTAAGAACTCTCGCAGCTCTGGGCTGCCTGCCAACTCGGCATCCTTGGAGACACAGCGCAGGATCTCATTGAACACGGCTCTCCTCTCCCGGATGTCAGACTCCCCAACAAATAGGACCTTCCTGGGGAGCGGGGGGAGGCTGGCTGCTGTGTAACGGCTGCTCAGTTTCTGGTAAAACTCCTCAATCTCGCTGTATTTTTTGGAGACCTGGAATGAGAGGAGCATGTGGTTTCCCGAGTGAAGAGTGGCAGGAAGTGCTCCTTTCTCACCCCGACCAGGGGTCCCCGAGGCCCGGCGGCCATAGGAAGTGTGTCAGGCAAGGCCGTCTGCTGCCCCTCCGCCTGTCCCCAGCCTCAGGCTCTAGTCCTCAACACTCCTGGCCGATAGGAGATTCACTAAAAACGGCTAGTGGCCCAAAGGAAACATGCAGTATGGTGCCATTCTGGGCACTGTCACAGGTCCAGGTAAAAAGACTCGATACAGGCACCCCTGCCCAGCCTGCAGCTGACCGTGGCCACTGCCTTCATTCTGGCTTTCTGCGTATCAGGAGGGTGATCTCACCAGCTGGCAGGTCATTTTCCTGCAACACCGTGAATCACCTGTCCTTAGCACCGACCTCATTCTCCTGTGAACCAGTGCAGCCTTCAGCGGGCCAGCCCATACAAGCAGTGGAGGCAGATATTTCTAAGGCTGGCTCTCTGCCGTGCGTCAGCCAGGACCTCTCTGCACACAAGCACAGGGGTGAAGCAGGCCAAGACTCCTGCTGTCGTCAGAAGGTGGCCTTGAGCACCATCTGACTCAGAGAGGGCAGCACTCAGCTTCCCATGGGTCCAGCGACTGACTCCCGCCTCCTCAGCCTCTCCCCATAGCTCCTAGGCAGCGAAGGCTTCCCTCCTTCACTCACAGAGCTCTTGCTGCATGTTTACTCTGTATAGGGACACCCCATATGGGTGCGCAGAGAAGTCACCTGCTGTATGCACACACCAACGGCCAGCCATCTACCCTCACTCCTACCTCCTCTGTGCTTTCCCATAGACTGGGCCTGTCTCCCCCAACTGAAGTGTGGGTCACTCACTCTAATGCTCCCAGGCCGGGCTGTGCCTGCCGTGTGCCACTGGAGTGCTGGCGTGCAGCGGCTGCGGGCGTCTGATGCCCTGTGGCTCGGGGAGATCCCTTGGCACAGGGTGCGTCTGGAGCACACACCCTTGGCTCCAGCAACACCACCCAGAATCCCCCGCCTGCAAAGGGTCTAGATACCAGGGGGCAGCTGGGGCCGTATCAGAACCCTCCAGTGGGAAGTCTTCTGGGACAAGGAGCTGCTGCTTGCGGTTGTCAGCACAAAAGCCTGGCTCCAGACTTTCCCAAGAACAGCCCTCAGGGAAAGGCAACGAATCCCTTCGTAGAGGGATTGCTAACACAGGCTGCAACACAGGCAGAGCAGGCCACGGTGGGAGCCTGGCGCCCCCTGCTGGTCCAACTGCTCCACTGAGTCTCAGCCCACAGACCCAGCAAACCTGGAAGCCTCCATCTCCAGGGCATTGGCAGCGTGACTACCCTGGAGCTGTAGCCTTGGTTCCCATCCCACTCAGAACTCACGTCCATCAGGGGTTCAGCCAGGGCTTCTCGGGTGGGCACCTGCGCCAGCAATAAGAGGAGGCCAAGTAAGAGGCCCTGAGCAGAGGAAGCTCGAGGTTGAGAACTCACATTTATCAGTGCCCTGTGTGCCAGGCACTGCTGAGCACAGGGCAGACAGCCCTGTAACGTACGCCTGTGGGCGTCTACACCACTAGCACAGCCAGGATCCCGCACAACCTCCACTGCGGCGCCCCTGCCTGGGGGCTGCGTCCACTCCACGGTCAGCTAATCAGTACATGTTTATATTAAACACATATGCCCTTTTAAGCAGATACAAAATGCTCATTAATTCTCTGAGTTAAATCATGAAACATCAAAGAGACTTCAGGCTTGGGGCATGTGACTTTGGGCTACATCCTGAGGTCCCATGGGGAGTAGAGGAGTTCTTTGCCCTTGCAGGTACTTTCGAATGTCTGACGAGCCCCTGCACACGCGCACACTCCACAAGGAGTGGGCGTCATTGACTAGGAAAAGTGGCACTAGCGTGATGTACCGAGGTGTTCAAACATCCTCACGTACACCTCGCACGTGAGGCCGGCCCCTGTACAGGACCAAGTGGACTAGGCTGAAGCCCGAGTTTCCCAGAATGCTCCCTTCTTCACGCCCAGCGGCATCAAGCGCAAATACTCTCTTCTCCTCTTGCCCTGAAAATGGGGGTACACTGTGCTCCATCCAAGGTCAAGTCAGGTTACCAGGCGCTGCAAAGCGCCCTGCAGAGCAAAGCCAGTCTCAGAGCAGTGCAGGCCCCAAAGCACCCCTGACAGCACACCTTGCTTCTTGCCAAAAGTCGGCCACAGGAGCAATCAAATGAAAAACAGCATTGATTGCTATTCTAGACGCTTCCCATGATGTTGTTGGATGTCCCTTAAAATTGTGTGGCTGGACGTGGGGTTCATGCCTGTAGTCCCAGCACTTTGGGAGGTTTAGGCAGGACAGGCGTTTGAGACCAGCCTCGACAACATAACAAGACACTATGTCTATGAAAAGATTAAAAAACAAAAAGCTGGGCATGGTGGTGTGTGCCTGTAGTCCTAGCTACTTAGGAGGCTGAGGCAGGAGGATGGCTGGAGCTCAGGAGATCCAGGCTGCAGTGAGCTATGATCACGCCACTACACTCCAGTCTGGGTAACAGAGTGAGATCCCATCTCTTAAAAAAAAGAAAGATTTTGTGCCATAAATTTCTCTCAACATGCGGTGTCTCTTTCAACAGGTCACCAGGAAGATGCAACTCATCATTTTCCTTTTTATCTTGGCTGCCAGGAGACCCCCAGCCAGCCTGTGTCACTCCCTGCTGTCCTGCAGGGTCTAGTTCATTTCACCTTTGTCCTAACAATCCTGTACCTACGTCTCTTGGTCCCCAGCTCCAGGTTCTTTTCACAAGTGGCCAAATGGTAAATAAAAAGCCAATGAGTGTGTGATCTCAACCCTCTTGAAACCCTCTCCTCCCTTCGCTCCTGTGACTCCACAGACACCCAGTTCACTTTTCTGTCTCAACTGCAGACCCCTCCTTATCCCCAAGAGTCCCTGAACCCCTGACGTCCTCAGGATTTCCTCCTTGCCCTTCTCTCTGCCTTCCACATCTGCTCTCTAGGCAACTTCATCCACTCCCAGGTTTTTTATATCACTTACAAGTTGACGCCTCCCAAGCCTGCATCTCAGGCCTGAGCCCGTCCCAAGCTCCAGCCTCGTATATCCATCCACAGGTGGACCCTTCACATGCCACATGCCCCCTGCATCTGCTCCTCCATCAGATTGTTTATTTCAGTTGGTGGAAACAGTCAGCAAATGCAGTGCATGTGACTCCGTAAACATTTTCAACTCTCCCTTTCCCTTCCATACCAACGGCTACTGGCCTGCTCCAAGCCCTTGCTTTGGGAATAACCGTATTGGCCATGTATCTGGGCTCCCTGAAACCTGTTTTGTTCCTTTCAATCCAACTCCATGCTCCCAGCAGACTGGCTGGCTAAAGGTAAAAGGGCCCATGTCGCGCCCCTGCTTAAAATTCTCCTTGGCTGCAGGATAAATCCAGGATCCCGCATGCTCTCCACAATCTGGGTCCTGCCTGTCACTCACCTTCATCTTCCCCACTTCCTCCCAGGACCACACTCAACCATGCAGAGTTCCCCACTCAATGTCCTGTTTCTAGCCTCTGTGCCTTTGCTCAGGCTGTGTCGTCCACCCAGGACACCCTTCTCGCCTCTCCTGCTGAGCCCCACCCGCCCCTCAAAACACAGCTCAGCCACCAGCTCTTTCAAGAAGTTTCCCCAGGGTGAGTTAGGTGTCCCTTCTCTATTACCCCAGAGCCCCCATATGCTCCTGCCCCCATCTGTATCTGTCTCTCTACAGATCTGCCTCTCCATGGACTGAGAGCATCTGATTCACTCTGTGTCCCTTCTGTCTAGCACTGTCTGGCACTCCAGGCCCTGAGCAAGCAACAGACAGAGAAGCACCTGCTCTGGATGCTACTTGAACCCTGGTGGGCACGCTTGCGGCATCCTGGCCGGAGCCTCTGGCTCACCAAGAACTGGACGACATCCTCGGGCCTGTGCTTGGCCGACTTGAAGGCAGCCAGGCGGGTCACCACCAGGATCTGGTACTCCACGTGTCCGGACATCATCTTGCCCCGCACCTCCTGGTGCTGGGGCACAGTCAGGTCGAGGCCAGTGTGGGCATTCTGAAGTCGCCTGCCAGAGGAAAAGAAGGCAGGTGGGGTTCAGGGTCAAGGCAGCAGGCTCCCCGAGCAAAGTGCAGGCAGGGCCTCTGGGTGCCTGGAGGGCCTGGGTGCCAGGCGACTCTGCTGGCCGTTCTCAGTGGTCACTGCTCCAGGCCACCCATCACGCCACACCAGCCCCTCATTAGCATGGCTTCCCTGGCCTCAGACCTGGTCCTGCCTTTGGGTTGCTCAGGGACAAAGATCTGCCCCCTGCAAGAAAACAGGGAAGGAGGGGCTTGTTGAAAGGGATCAATACAAACTCTGTGCAGAGTGAATGGGAGCAGCATCCCAGGGGCTCTATCAGACCAAGGAAGGTGCCTGGGGCTGCAGAGACAGCATGGGATTGATCCCACCTGGAGAGATGAAGCTCTCTGTGGCTAACTAAAGGGCAGGAGGGGCCGGGCGCAGTGGCTCATGCCGGTAATGCCAGCACTTTGGGAGGCCGAGGTGGGCGAATCATGAAGTCAAGAGATCGAGACCATCCTGGTCAACATGGTGAAACCCTGTCTCTACTAAAAATACAAATATTAGCTGGGTGTGATGGCAGGAGCCTGTAGTCCCAGCTACTTGGGAGGCTGAGGCAGGAGAATCACTTGAACCCGGGAGGTGGAGGTTGCAGTGCGCCAAGATTGTGCCACTGTACTTCAGCCTGATGACAGAGCGAGACTCCATCTCAAAAATAAAAGGCAGGAGGGCTGCTATAGGCCCCCTGGTGGGGACACAGATGGGCAATGGAGGCAGGGCCCTTGTGACCCCCCGTGGCCCAGAGAGGCACTGACTGGCCCGTCCCTCATCTGGGCAGTCAATACTGCCCCTTGAGGTGCAGAGAGGATGCCTCAGCAAAACATCGCTGCTCTTGGAGACTTTTAAAATATGATTCTAATATACTGAACTGTATGGCGAGCAACGAAGTGATGAGACATTTTCCGTGAAGTAGAAAAAGTTATTAAAAACATCCCTCACCCTATATAAGGTGAGACTCAGACCTGTGCAGACTAACTTCCCTCACGCAAACGCCTCTGTCAGGACAGGCTGGGCACCCTCTGACCAGCTCTGACCATCGAGGTGTGACCTCCTGGGTACCGGGCAGGACCTTGAAAACACAGGAGGGGCTTCTGGAGCTTCACCTGTGCCTGGGCAAGGCCCCTCCCTCTTTGGAATTATACCCCAATCCATCAAATCTCCCTGCCCCATGCCTCTCCCACACAGACCCCTTACATCCCACGCTAGGCCACGCTGTCACCAGCACAGTGCTGCTGTCACCAAATGGTAAGGCCTACAGTGACGAGCGTCCTTGCCGTGTGTGATAGGCAATGACTGCACACACTGTACGCACAAGGAATATCCTCCCGTGGTGTAAGGCAGCCCAGGCAACCTGACTTCCGCTGCTGAAAAGTGCAGCCAGGGCGAATAGGTGCCGGGAGGTGGACACGCACAGCCAGGGCGAATGGGCGCCGGGAGGTGGACACGCACAGCCAGGGCGAATGGGCGCCGGGAGGTGGACACGCACAGCCAGGGCGAATGGGCGCTGGGAGGTGGACACACTCAGCCAGTCCTCTCTCACCAGGAGCCAATGGCACCGAGTTCACGTGGTGTGCACTCATGGCCTGGTGTCACCCACAGTGTCACTGTCACCAGTGCAGAGACTGGATGCTGAAGGGAGACGTGCTGGGCTCTGGGGACTGCACCTGTGCAAAGTCACTTCCACCTCCTAGAAGTCTTGAGAAGCAACTCCGCTACTCAGACCCACTTAAAAGACAGGAAAATAGACCCTACAGGGAACGTGCCTGCCCAGGTCTCACCGGCATGAGGTGGGGCTGCGTTCAATCCCAGGCAGCCACTCCAGAGCCCAGGTAGCCTCTTATGGGGGAGGCATGAGAAAGAAGCCAGGCATCATTTCTTTGGGATTGTGATGAAAACGAGGCACAGGTGGGTGAAAGTGACAAGAGAGGAGGTGCCAGAGATGGGGGGAGGTCCTCTCAGGGTGGGAAGGGGATGGAGCAGACCCAGATGAGCACCTCCCACGATCCAGCTCCCTCACAGCACCCCACATCCAACGGTTCTCTGACCACGCTAGACCCACAATCCATAACCCCAGAGTCCCATTCCATTGCTGGAATCCCTCTGCCTCGGGCCCCAGCTCCCCTGACTCCTCACCCAGGGCTGAGCTGGCCTGATCAAAGTCCACTCCTCCAGTTCTCTGCTTCCTCCACCCTGTGCCCAGGTGGCTCAGTGTGACTGGGGACACGGTGCACACATGCAGCCTGCGTCCCACTGAAATTCACGGCTGCAGACTCGAAGGCACCGCACCACACTGCACCAGGTTTGGCAACCCTACCTTGCCCTAGCTGTGTGGTTCTCAAAGAGTGGTCCCTGGATCAGGATCAGCATCGCCTGGGAACCAGTAGGAAAGTCATGTTCAGGCCTGGGGTGGCCGGCCATCTTGTTTTCTTGGCGAGCCCTCCAGCAAGTCTGAGGCACTTGGGCTACTCCAGTCATCCTCCCACTTCCCTGAGCCCCTAGGAAATCTTTTTCCATACAGGGCCAGATAGCAACTATTTCAGGCTGCGCAGGGTATCTAGTCTCTGCTGCAGCTGCTACGGAGAATACATACGCAAAGGGGGGTGTGGTGGGCAGGATTTGGCCCACACCTGTGCCCTAGACCAAGCTTCTCCAACTGGAGTGTGCAGGCAACACCCTGGGGATCTTTGTGATATGCAGATTCTGGTTCTGCAGGCCCGGGGTGGGCCTGAGAGTCTGCAACTCTCGTAAGTTCCCAGGTGATGCGGACACTGTTGTGTGCTGCTGGAGACCAGCGGAGAGTGTCCTGGGCTTCACAGTCACATCTGCCCATCAGCCTGCGGCTGCTCCCTGATAACTGCCCTCTCCTGGGACTGTAGACAAACTGACCGGCTGCTCCTAACGCCAACCCCTCCACCAGGACAGTGGCTCCAAGCCCCTCCCACGTACTCAGGGACACCGCATCCAACTTCCTTCCTTACCGGCCCGTGCTCACTAGCATGTAACCACACTCTGACCGCTCATGTAACAAAAGCTGTGCTTTGACCTGACATTCCCCTCGCTCTGTTTCCCTCCTGCCCTTTCCGGCAGAACTCCTCACCAGAGGGCCCCCTATTCACGGGTTCCCCTCCTATTTGATCTTGAACTCATTCCAGCCAGACTTTAGTCCTCTTCATGCAAGCAACTGCCCACATCCAGGTCACCTGTGACCTCTGTGTTGTTAAATCCAAAGGTGAGTCCTCATGTCTCCACTGGTGTGACGTGTCAGCAGCAGTAGGCACAGTCAGCCACGCCCCTCCTTCAAGCTCTGCCTTCACTGGTGGCTGGGGCACCCCTCTCCCTCTTAGTTCTTCTCTGCCTTCCCCAGCCACTCTTGCTCAAGCAGGAGGAGAGGAACTGCTTTGGATGGTTCCCCTTGATGGCACCCAGAGCACCGCCCTTAGACCTTCTCCCTCTCACTGCACCCCTTCTCATCCAGGCTCCAAGCTCTAAATACCACGTGCAGGACAATGGCTCCCCAACAACCATCTTTAGCCCCCTCTCCGCTCACATCCTCTCCTTCCAGCTGCCTGCCTGCCACCCCCACTGGGCTGTCAGTGAGCTTCTCAAAACTCACCTGTCTACATGAATGCTGCTCCCACCTCGCCCCAAGCCTGCTAAACGGCAGCCTCATTCTTCTAGCATCTTAGACTGAGAGACTTGCAGTTAGTCTTGACTTCTCTTTCTTGTTCTCACATCCTATATCCAAGCATCAGCAAAGCTGAAAGCTCAACCTTCAAAATATATCCGCAACCAAAGCATTTCTCGCCCTCTCGGCCGCCATCACCCAGGGCCAAGCCACCATCGGCTCTACCGGGAGTCCTACAAGCCTGTCCAGCATGCTCCGCTCAGCCACCGCTCCTATGCGCAACACAGTGGCCAAAGGATCTCTATAAACCAGAAGCTGGGTCTTACTGCACTTGAAATAAATCTGATGGCCCCTCCACAGCCTTCGAGGCCTTTCCTGATCATCCCTCACTCCCAAGCTTACCCCTTCACCGCATCACCTAACGCTCTCCCCCGCTCCCCGCCCACCCCACTCCCTCCACTCCAGCCCTACCAGCCTCAGGACCCTGGCTCCTGCTGTCCTGTCTTCCAAGAACACACGTTTCCAAGATGGCTTTTTCATGGCTCTCTCCCTCAGGGAGTGCGTCGGGGTCTGCCCAGGGGCCACTCCATCAGAAAGACGACCCTTGACCACACCACAGAAAACAGCATGCACCCTGCCGACCACGCTATTGCCCCTACTGTTCTTTCCTTCCTAGCATTTATCAGCCCTGACACATTATAGATTTGCCTGCTGTGCGTGTGTCCCCATTAAAGCTCAGCACTATCTCCTAGAACCTGGACCAGTACCCGGTACAGAGAAAGCTCTCAATAAACACCTGCTGGCTGAATTCAAGCCTGAGTGCCTGTGGCAATGACAGGCGGGAAGAGGCCAGGCTGGAAAGAGGAGCTGGGGCGCGACTGGGAAGGGCCAGCCTTGCTGCTGGGCTAAGGTGTTTGGACTCACCCTGTAGGCAAGATCCTTAGGTGTGCTGGTGCCCTCAGTAAGAAATGAGCATGACTCATGCGGTCTTACCACTGCCAACAACCCCACGGCTGTTAACAGGCCACATCCAGGCTGGGCAGGTGGGCAGGGAGCGAAGCCACCCACCCCTTCCCAAGCACCCAGCACCAAAATCACACCCCAACCATCTGCACGTGACTGAGGGGCATATACTACCGACGCTGCTCATGCCTGCCAATCTCGGACCTCCAATTCACAGAAGGAAAATGAGGCTCGGCAGGAGGAGGGGATGTAAGTGGGAGTGGGGAAACCTCTTCTGCCCATGAAGATACAAGTGTAATTGATCACGCAAGACCAAGCAGGCTCTGATATCAGGGTTTATAAAAAGAATCATATCTTTCTAGCCCTGAAGTCACAGGGAACCCCTGATTACAACTGTTAGATCTACAGTTGGCTAGGTAACACGTTCATTTATGTAATAAAGTGGCACCTTAGCCTAAGACTTTGTGTAGGGGGAGCAAGGGTGGAGAGTATTAAAATACTTGAAGTAAGTCACTTTACAGCGTTTCAAAAGTGGGAAGAAGTAAAAGCACATCCCTCCCAGCCTTGCCAGGATCCATCTTGGGCTGGGTCCTCCAGGGCCGGATCAGGCGGACCCACTCTGCACCCTCCGCCTGGACTCCTCCGAGGCCTTTGCTGTAACTCTTCCGAGCTACCTGTGGAGCAGCGGCCACCTCTCCCTGGTCTCTCATCAAACTCATCCTCCCAAAAGCCGGGTTCCTGCCCTGCACTGTGTTCCCATGGCACCTGAGCTTACTGTCGGCTGCTGGCATCACCCCCTCCCCACCGCGGCCCCCTGCAGGGCAGGCCTGTCGGATTCTCCCCAGTCCTCAGTGCCCAGCACCGGGCCTGGACGCAGGGAGCGCTGAAAGGATGGAGAACTGTATCTTCGGGCCCAAAAGAGAACCCAAGGCGATAGGCAAGGAGAGCAGAGTGCCCACTGCCCCCGCCTGACGGAACCAGTCAGTCCCAGGCCTCCCGCTGTCCTTGGCGAGTTCTCTACCCTCTAGAGGGCCTCGGTTTTCTCATCTGTAAATCGGGAGCGCCACCTCTTCTGCAGGGCGGTGCAGGGGGCCCAGCCGGGACAAGCCACCGAGGGCGCTGGGGAGACCCGCCCCGGCTCCCGGGCCTGGGAGGCGGCCGCCTCCGCCTGCTCCTCCGCCCAGGCGCCCCGGACTACGAGCTGCGCCGTGTGAGGCGCGGGGGTCGGGCTCACCTGGAGGTGACGAGCACCGCCGGGGACTGCATGACGGCGGCGGCGGCGGCTCCGGGCGGGGCGCACAGTCACGGGACCCGGCGTTGTCAGCGTCTCCGCGTCCCCGCCCCTCCTCCCGCCGCCCTGGCCCGCCCCCTGGCGGCCGCGCCGCGCAGTTCGCGCCTGTGGCCCGGAGCGCGCCGGGGGCGGGAGCGCGCCGGGGGCGGGCCCCGCTGGCTCGCGGTCGGCCTGCTCTGCTCTGCTCTCCCGGAGTCCCCGGGCCGAGCCGCGCCCGCCGCAACTACCAATAAGAAGCCCAGCCTGGCCCTGGCACGCGGTGAACCTTAATCGGTGTGCCTATGCTGCGCTAAGGTTTAGCCGCTAGAGGGAGGGGACTCTGCCGTTTCCGCAGCCTGTCCCATTACAAAACCACTCCCCCTCTCCCCCATGGCCAGTTCATTCATCCGATCAGTCAACAAATACTAAGTTGGAGCTCTGTCCGGGCCTCGTGGGGTCTTGAAGCTGCACAGTGAACGCCACGCCGCAGCCCCAGCCTCCTGCTCTCAAGGTGCGCCCTTGAGCTTGCTGCCTCCAGCTGGCTTTCCTCTTTCCTTCCTGCTGCCCGCCCGCTCCATAACTGGCGGGTGCTCTCCCGACAGAGGATCTACAGAGAGCCACCCCTGCTGCTTGACAGAGCTCTGGGTGGAGGCCTCCTGGGGCCGGGCCTGCCTGGGGGTGGCTGCACTTGGGTCCTCGGCTGGAGCAGGGCAGTGGGGTCCAGGAGCCAGCTCCCCTCTGAAGAGGAACATACAGACATGCAGACCCTAACAGACCCTCTCAGTTTAGATTCACCTCTCTCTGGGGTGAGAAACAAAAAGATCATATCACCTGCCAACATAGCCCAGGGAAAGAAAAGCTGAGTTGCAAACGGGACGGATCAGAAGAAGGTGCAAACTGCTGCCCTATTCTATTACTCTCTCACCTAGAGCCCCGGTGACAGAAAGCAACAGAAGCTGGGATTAACCAAACCAGAATTCATGGCAGGGCAATGTCAGCCATGTTTCCTGAGCCTACCAACCACTGCCAGCAGCATCACCAGTAATATCTACCTGTATTCACAGATTTTAGTGAAGAAATCCTACAGTAAAAGATTTTGCAAAATGAGTTTCCCCAATGTATTTTTTGAATAAATACGGACATTCCTATGCCTTGTTATTTGTTTTTAATGTATTTATAGGCAAGAGGAGCAATCATGAATGAAGTAGAACAATGAATGAAAGTTCCAAGGCTGAACTTGAAGAGCTGGGATTATGGGGGAACCCCTGTCTGCTCTGCTGCTCATCCTGCTGTTCATCTGCAGGGCAGTGTTCATGGCTGCTAATGGTCCTCTGTGTTTTGTTGAAGTTGACATGCCCCGCTTTAGAGAAAGGGAGTTCAGGGTCTGGACAGAAAACAATATAGGATTCAGCATTCCAGGAGTCTGAGTGTAGTGCCAGGCAGTCGAGAAGTCACCATTGCACTCACATTTATCCAACAGATAGAAACACAGTGAATAAGACACTTTAGCTGCCTTCGATGGATTTCTTTGCCTTTATACCTGGGGAGTGGGTGGGAGTCAGGAAAGGCTTTTTAAGGGAACTGAAGTCTAAGGTAAAACCTGAAGAAATATGGATGAACTAGAGTAGCAGGAATGTCACATGCAAAGCCCTAGAGACACGATAGGAGCACCAGGGAACAGGGGGACGAGGCCAGCAGGATCCAGGATGTGGACAGCCTGGTGCACTGAGGCCAGGGCTTTGCCTGATCCTGAGGCCAACATGGCAGCATCTGAGGGTCAGGGGCCTAGGAGTGGCCGGGCCAGCCAGGCCGGGGACAGGGGTTCGGAGCATGTGGTGCCGAAGATGTGAAGATGAGCAGGACTGCAGAACAATCCAGACAGCACACAATGGTGCCATGAACTCGGTGATGGCCACGCAGGTGGAGAAGAGGGAACAGGTGTGAGGGCCTTAGGAGGAGTTAGTCAAGATCCGGGAATCCAGTGGGTGTGGGTGGGAGGAGTTAAGATGCTGTTCTGGTTTGCTCTTGTGAGTGGCTGGACATTGGTATCATTCTCTGTGGTAGGGCACCTGGAGACGGAGCATAATTTTTGATGGGAGGATGGGTTCTGTTTTGGACAGGTAGTGTTTGAGGGCCTGGGTACATTGATGCGATTGGATCCATGGCCCTGGGCCCCAGGAAGGAGACCTGGGCTGGAGACTGGTGTCGGAGTCCTGGTGGAAAGGAGGCTGCTGAGCCTGAGAGTTGGGGTGAGCCCATCGAGGAGAGTCTACTATACAGAGACATGGGGGGCTGCAGAGAAGGGGACTCCCTATCATTGTGGAGCTGGTAGCATGTCTGTCACCAATGCCTCATAAGCAAATGACAGGGCCTCACCCGTGCCCCTGGAGTTGCTAAGCGTGCACCTCAGGAACACTCAGCCCACCTGTCAAGAGTGCAACTGATTTCTTAAGAACGACCCCATTCCCGACAGCAATCCCATTTTCTGTCTCTGTGGGTCCCACGTGCCCCTCTATGGCCCCAGCGCGTAATTGTATACAATGCATGGAATGTGGGATCTAAATCTGATATTTTCTGCTTCCTGTTTGATTCAAGGAGCCCTTCCGTGGCTGATGCTGAAGTAACACAAACCGCTTGCAAACGATTTTCTATTTCCCTTTTTCCCACTTCCCTAGGAGGAACACTCGCTGGGCCTCAGGACGCTGGGGTCAGTGAGAGACACCCGTAGCCTGCAGGGGGCGCTCTGAGCTCTGGCCTTGCCCCGCACCGTTTCCCATGGTAGCGCGGGTCTTCAGGGACCTTCTAATTAGTCTCTGTCCCCTGATGTGATACTCCACATTAGAGCTCCAGGGTCTGGGCACCTCTACATGGAGCAGGGCCACCATCTTGCTTGTCACTCAGCAAACACTCATGGGCACAGCTCCAGGTCTGTTACCTCCCCAGGCCTGGGGGCTGCAAAGCCTTATCCTGTGGGGCTCATAGACCAGTACAGGGGCTACAGACCGCTCTAGGACAGTTGGAGATTTTAACAAGCTTGCACGCTTAGGGTGCTATGGGTGCAGGGAGGAGGACACATAACTAACTCAGCCTGGGGTTGGGCATACAAAGAGTTCTACCAGGAGGTGATGGGGGAGATGGTGGCAGACCTGGGTGGTAAAAAGTAGGTTTTATCTTTTTGAGACTTGATTTTCTCACTGGTGAAATGGACATAACAGAAACCTTTAAATCACAACATTGCTTTGAATTACGTGGTAAAATGAGACTGAAACAAGATGAAATGTATGGAGCTAACCAGAAGCCATTCACAACCCCCTTCTTCCTGGTTTTCATTACCATAGAGGCTGGAGAAGCAAAACACATACGTCCCCTTTCAGTGAGAAGGGGCCATGTGACGGAACTCTGACCATATCTACATAAGTCCATGTGGAGGATTTCTCTTGCTAGGAGAAAACTCTTTGCCCCTCCCTTCCTTGTCTTCTACCTGGAGACGGGATACAGTGCTGGAGACACAACAGCCATCATGTGAGCAGGAGGCATAGACATGAGTTTGGAGCCTACCACGCTAGGGAGGAGCGAGCCTGGGGAGCTGATGGCATATGAACTTGTGCACCAACCCTGGGCTTTTTTCTGCAAAGTTCTCCTTGCACAAACGTCTAACCCACTCTAAGTGGGCTTTCTGCAGGGGCTTTCTGCAGTGGATTTCTTGTTGGTATAGTTGTAAAGTACTTACATAACACCTGACAAAAAAAGCCACTCTATCGGAGATGCAGGGATGATTGAGGAGGAGGAAGAGAAGAGGTGAAGTTTGTACTAGGCAGCACACTCAAAGGCAGTGTCTCTTTTTCTTTTTTCGTTTTTTTGAGACAGGGTCTCACTCTGTCGCAGTGGCACGATCATGGCTCACTGCAGCCTCAACCTCCTTGGGCTCAGATGATCCTCCCACCTCAGCCTCCCAAGTAGCTTGGACCACAGGCGTGTGCCACCATGTCCAGCTAATTTTTGTGTTTTTTGTAGAGATGGGGTTTCCCTATGTTGCCTAGACTGGCCTTGAACTCCTGGGCTCAAACAATCTTCCCGCCTTGGCCTCCCAAAGTGCTGGGATTACAGGCATGAGCCACCGTGCTTAGCCTCACATGTCTTGATAGAACCAGAGCATATTTGAGGAGCTGGTGAGAAGAACATGTGGAGGGATTGTGGGTGAGGAGGCAGCAGAGGCCGGGAGGAGCCTGTGTTCCCATGGCATAGAGGGCCTTGTGTGCTATGCAAAGGAGCTCATGTCTTATCCTGAAGAGGGAGGGAGTGGGCTCACAGAATAAAGGGAAAAGAATATTTCAGGAAGAAACTGGGGCGTGTTCAGCAATGCCAAATACTGCTGAATGTCCAGGAAGATAAGGAGGTGTTCAAGAAAAAAAAAAAAAAAAACAGAACTGAACAGAAATTAAAGTGGTAAAAGCAGATTTTATCTGGGACTGCTGCAATAGGGGTAAGAGACCTCAATATAGAACTGGGCTAAATTCCAGATGTAGCATGGGAAAGTGGGAATTTATAGCCAAGGAACAGAGTGGGAGCGGCGGCTGGAACATTCCGAAGAGGTTATGGGGGACTCTGGCTGTGCCGACCTAACAGCATTCTTGCTGAAGATGAGCCAGGGGTGGTAGAGGAGGAGGAACCCAGTTAGATATCGAGGGTGATCACACAGGCAGGGTGGGAGGCTGTTGGTAACCTGACTTAGCTGGGTTCTTCCTAAAACTGGATTTTACAAGGAAGTGCATGCCTAGGTCTAAGAGAAGCTTCAGGTGCTTGAACCTTGGTTTGGTCAAGAAGAGAATCTTTGTCAGAGAGAAAAGTCTTCTCTGACCTCGAGGAGAGCAGGGTCCCAGTGAGCAGAGGAGGGGACAGGAGGTGGGACGGGGAGAAGGGCGTGGGTCCCTCTCTTCCAGAAGCTGGATTCTGAAGCAGAGGGGGCAAGCAGACAATTTTTAGAAAGAGTTCTATAGAAATAATTCATGTGCATGGTAGAAAATCTGAAAACTAGGGATAACAAAATAAAAAAATTAAAATCGCCTCTTATTCTATACCAGATATGACAATTGCACTAATTTTTTGTTCCTTCTCGCCTGACATTTTTTCTATGACTATATACATCAGTCTCTTCTTTTAAATAATACAGAATCTGAATGGATATACTATTTTGTAACTTGCTTTTTCATTTACCATCCTGTAAATACCTTGCCATGTAAAATTACCTCCAAAATCTTAATTTTAAATGCTCCTTAGAATACCATGTGCAGATGTAGAATAATCGACTTATCCGGTCCT